GTGGCATCACAGCTCACAGCAACCTCCAACTCCTGGGCTCAAGCGAGTCTCCTGCCTTCACCTCCCAAGTAGCTGGGACTACAGGCGCCTGCCACAACACCCGGCTATTTTTTGGTTGTAGCCGTCATTGTTGTTTGGCAGGCCTGGGCTGGATTCAAACCTGCCAGCTCAGGTGTATGTGGCTGGCGCCTTAGCTGCTTGAGCCACAGGCACCGAGCCCATGGGTGGTTTTCAAACTGGAATCCTCAGGGCTCCCGAGTTCTTTGGAAATCCCATAGGGCTGGGGGTCAGCCTATGCGGAGAGCTAAAGAATAGACACTGCCCCTACTGGTTACAGTGGACAAATCTATTCATTAGCATCATTTATCATATTTGGATTTTTTTTTTTTTTGAGACAATCTCAAGCGTTGCCCTGGGTAGAGTGCTGTGGCATCACAGCTCACAGCAACCTCAAACTCCTGGGCTTAAGCGAATCTTCTGCCTCAGCCTCCCAAGTAGCTGGGACCACAGGCACCCATCACTAACGCCCAGCTATTTTTTGGTTGCAGCTGTCGTTGTTTGGTGGGCCTGGGCTGGATTTGAACCCACCACCTTAGGTATATGTGGCTGGCGCCTTAGCCACTTGAGCCACAGGTGCCGAGCCTTGTTTTTTGTTTTTGAGACAGAGTCTCACTCTGTTGCCTTGGGTAGAGTACCATGGGGTCATAGCTCATAGCAACTTCAAAAGCTTGGACTCAAGAGTTCCACTTACTGCTGAGCACAGTGGTTCACAGCTGTAATCCCAGCACTTGGGAGGCCAAGGCAGGGGGATTTGCCCTGAGCTCATGGGTTCAAGACTAGCAAGAGCAAGACCCTCCATCTCAAAAAAATAGCTGGGTGTGGGCGATGTCTGTGGCTCAAAGGAGTAGGGTGCCGGCCCCATGTGCCAGAGGTTGTGAGTTCAAACCCAGCCCCGGCCAAAATCTGTAAAAGAAATAGCTGGGTGTTGTGGCAGGTGCCTGTAGTCCCAGCTACCCAGGTACTTGGGAGGCTGAGGCAAGAGTTTGAAGTTGCTGTGAGCTATGATGTCACAGCACTCTGTCAAGGGTGAGAAAGTGAAACTCTGTCTCAAAAACAAGCAAACAAACAAACAAACAAAAAGAGCCCTGCTTGCCTCAGCCTTACCTGTAACTGGAACTACAAGCACCTGCCACAGACCTAGGTAATTTTTCTATTTTTGGTAGAGACAGAGCCCTACTCTTTTTTTTTTTTTTTTTTTTTTTGAGACAGAGCCTCAAGCTGTCCCCC